CCAAAGATCGAGCGAAACGGCCCGTGGACAAACTGCTCAGTTTTGTTTCCAATACCGCGGATCTGTCGCAGGTTCTAGCCTCCGGTTTGCCCCCTTGACGTTGCCTCCCGAGTCGGAATAGCCGCCCTCGATCTTTCTTCTGTTCAATGCCAAGACGAAAGATATGGGATGCGATGAAAAGGCGTGGATGCTTGTCTTGCCGTGAGCAGCACTCGGATTTCTTGTTTCTGCGGCTACCAAGGTGGTATAAGTCGGGCTCGCCGCCGCCGTGGTCGCATCAACGCGGTGAAGTGGCCGGCGCTCGATACGCTTGGCATCCGACGTCACATCAAAGTGTGCTTTGAAAATGTCACTTCAAGCAGCCGGCCTTCCGCTTCATGGGCTCGGTTGTATGCTACTTCAAGCCCCTGATCCAGACCCCCCGAGGTGTCATGCCATTCCCGTAGAGGGCATCCACGTTAGTACTAGTAATGACCATCGTGAAACCTAACCACTTGGCCGGACTGTCACCAGCTGGCCAACTGACACCACCATCTCAACATGAACATTGTCCGAGTAGGTATAGGTATTGATCCATTTTTGCCCGCTCTAAGTTGCGCAGCTTTCAAAGTTCAAAAGTCCTTTTAACCTGGAAAATGACGCCAACAGATTTTCACCTAAGGAGCTCCACTGCGCTTAGCGTGGGCTGCTCAAGTCGTCTCCTTGCATCACTTGGGCAAAGGGCGTCAGTCACCATGCTGTCCCCGTAAACCCGGCCCCTCTCGGGCCCGGGAATCCACTTTACTGGATCAACCCCCGCTGGCCCGTCTCGGGTCGGTCACGTGCCACTTTACTAGACAATCTACACCGAGGCCTGATATCTGGCCCAGATCGTGCTCTTCAGCATAAAACAAGAGAGGGTACAGGGTAGAACATAAGGTGGTGAAGCTGTCGCCTTTTTCTCTTAAGTTGTGGTCACTTCGCAATGAATCATGCGGGCTAGTCATTTTGCGTTTGACCAACATACACCCTTCCACGACCTTTTCGAAAAGCATAGCATCTAGAAACATCAATGAATTCAGAGAAGGAGTACTCTCGAAACCTCTCCCTCCCACTACAGCTCCTGACAGCGACTCGGTATTCATTGATGGCAATCTAGGAACGCACCCCTCTTTTCGGGCAAAGCAAAGACAGCGTATTAGTAGGTATGCTTCAAAGAACAAGAGAAGCTTTTGTTAAAAGTCTCGCCCTCTCTCTTTTTTTTTTTTTTTTTTTTTTTCAATCATGTCCACCCTCAAATGGGTACAAGCTTGATTTTTCTCCTTGATAAGCAGAAGAGGGAAGCAGAAGAGGGAAGTATCGAAGGGGTTACATGGTCTCTGCTGTAGGACGAATTGAACCCCGCCAGCCATGGCTCTAATACAACAGATATATCTCAATATCTCAGGGTAGCACAACAAAATTGTCTTGGTCTCTTCATAAACACTCGGCAAGAGTCAAATACGCACTCCATTTGTCGCGGCCCAAAAGGAAGTTATGCCACATAGGATGCTTGCTCTCTTGAGTAGGTAGGCGCCAGACACGAACGGAAAGGCCCCCTTTGCCTGTATCAATAACACAGCGTGAGGCAGCTCCCTCGGATCACCGTGTGAAGAAGGGTAGGAAGGCCGTACGACTTTTCACCATGCCTGAGGTACGCGAGGACATCAGGATACACCGACAAGGTGTGAGGAAACGAATCAAATCCACAAAGGCTCAATTGAGATTGTCTACAGGTGTCACTTCTGTGCGACTTTTTTTACCCGCCATTCCCACGGACTTTTTCAACATCCACCTATCTCTCTCTCTCTCTCTCTCTCTCTCTCTCTCTCTCTCTCTATAGAGCAGCCCTTTGCGACGAACAAAAAATAAGGGGGAACGTGGTATCCATATGAAAATTCTTCTCTGCTGCTGCCATTTCTTTTTTACCGGACAGTTACGTCGACCTCCTGGCTCTCAAACGTAGGGAGCTCGGCAGCGACGTCCTTCCACTCCTTGGCACCAGTAACGAGGCTCTGGATGGCCGCGATGATGGTGTCCTCGTCGGCGCGGACCTGCTTGGTCGAGTCGCGGTCGCGGAGGGTGATTGTGCTGTCTTGGACGGTCTGGAAGTCGATGGTGATGCCGAGCGGGGTGCCGAGCTCGTCGTTGCGGCTGTAGCGCTTGCCAATGGTGGCCGAGGACGAGTCGACGCGGGCCGAGATGCCGTACTTGCGCAGCTTCTGCGAGATCTTGCTGACGAAGGGCTGGAACTGCTTGTTGGCGGACAGGGGCACGATCAGGACCTTTGTGGGGGCGACTGTCGGGGGGAAGGAGAGGACCTGCAGTTATTTGATTAGCAAATTGTTCATTAACGGTTAGTCAGGGCGTAACTTACTCCGCGGGCCTCGTCACCGGCACCATCCTCGGTGGCGCGGTTCCAGTAGACGTGCTCAATCAGGGAGTACAGGATACGCCCGATACCAAAGGAAGGCTCAATGACGTTGGGGGTGAACTCCCTGGTGTTCTCGATGCGCTTTCTGAACTCAATCTTGACGAGGTCCTTGCTGACCTTGACCGTGCCGCTGCCGACGCCGGCAACCTCGAGCTCAAGCTCGCCATTGTCGGTGAGCTGCTTGGCGAGCTTCTCGCGCTGCTCCTGGGTGGTTTCCTCGAGGGCGGCCTCGACCGTCTTGCCGTCCTTCTTGAACTGGGGACCAAACTTCTTCTTGTCAATCTCGACCTGCCACTCCTCAAAGACGAGGGGCTCGTCGAGGCGCTCGCGCACGACGAGAGGCGCGCCAGTCTTCTTGGCGTGGACGGACAGATCGTAGGCGCTGCGGTCGGCGCAGCCAACACACTCGATCCAGCCGGAGGAGGTGAGGAGCTCGGCGTCCCAGCAGTCGGCGGCGTAGTGGGCCATCTCGTTCTCCATGTGCTGGCGGAAGCGGACCTTGGTCATATCGACACCAATCTTTTGGAGGAAGAGGTGGATGCGGGCCAGGAAGTAGCCGAGGGTCTCGTTGTCGACGACCTTGTTGCTCACGGCGTTGCCAATGGTCATCTTCTTGACCTCAGTCTTGCCGGCGAGCTGGGTGTGGCGGTCGAGGAGGGTGAGCTCGACGGTGTTGACCTCGGGGAAGCGGATGTGCTTCTTGCCGCCCTCGGGGTCGACAAAGTGCTCAATCTCGGCCATGAGGAACTCGCGGACTCTCAGGAGACCAGCGCGGGGGGAGATTTCGTTTCTGTAGGACTTGCCGATGGAGGCGGAGGCGAAGGGCATCTGCTGCATGTTGAAGTCGAGGAGCTTGGCAAAGTTAAGGAACTGGCCCTGAGCGGTCTCGGGACGCAGGTAACCGGGCAGGTTGCTGCTGGGGCCAATGGCGGTCTGGAACATGAGGTTGAAGGCGACGGGGGGCGAGGGCTGGAGGCCGGTGTTGGGGTTTCTGAGGTCGTACTTCTTGATAAGCTCGCCGAGCTCCTCGCCGTTGTAGTTGTCAATCTTGGCTAGAATCTCCTCGTACTCCTGGACGACAGCGTCCTCAAGCTTGACGGCCTCGGCCTTTGTCTTTCTCTTCTTCTTCTTCTTGGGATCGTCCTCCTCCTCGACCTTTTGACCGCGGGCCTCCTTGTCACCCTTGAGGCGGGCCTCGAGCACATCCTCGACGAAGTGGTCGGCGCGCAGGATATCGCCGTTCTTGGGGTCCTTGCACATCCAGTCGGCAAACTTGTCGACGTGGCCAGAGGTCTTGAGGACCTCGTGCGGGGTCAGGACGGTGGTGTCGATCTCGAGCATGTCCTCCTCGAGGATGAAGTGCTTGCGCCATGTCTCGACAATGTTGGCCTGCAGGGCGCAACCGGGAGGGCCGTAGTCGAAGAGGCCAGCGACACCGCCGTAGATTTCGAAAGCCGGGGTGAAGAAGAGACGGCGGCGCAGCATGGCGTCGAGGGTCTGCCTGTCGAGAGGCTGACCCTTGAGGGTCGTCGCGGTGGTCGTCATCTTGGAGGAAGAGCCGGCGGCAGCGGACGGGGGCTTGTTCTTTTTCGAGGGGACGAGGACTTGAGCCCGGGAGAGGTGACGGGAGGTGGTGAGGGTGCGTTGATGGGAGGAGTAATATGGGTTTGAATAGTGGGAGGAGGGGGAGGGGTAACGTTGGTGGGAGTGGAAAAAAGCGGCCGGCCGAACTGCACAGAAGCTAGCTGTGGAACGAATTGAAGGTGATTGGTGTGCAACAAAGCGAAAGGGCTTCATCTGCTCGATCGTTTGGTGGGGTTGTTTAGAGGAGCGTGAGTCATCTGGGGGGATGGAGTCACTGGCAGCTCACTGTAGTCCGGGCTGCAGCCAAGGAAGTAATGGCTATGGCTGGCTCTCAATTGGAAAGATGCCCTGAGGAAAGATGCCCTGAGGAAAGAGTGCGTGCAGTGCAGACTGCAGAGTGTGAGCTAGGTATAGAGGGGTAGGTAGTGTGTATGAGCGAGTATGGTCGTGGTCGATGTCAATGTTCGTCTGCCCTTTCAGTTTTCACACCCCTCGTTGGTGGGCAGCCTAAGGTGAGAAAAAAAGTTCTATCCTCCAATTCCAGGTTGGCATTGGGTGCGCCCAAAGTGGCCTGTCTGTCAGTGTCAGTTGAGGTGGCCCTGTCGTTGCGATCCGCGCCAGGCCAGGCACGCACACGGCACCGGACGGACCCCCTTCCTCTGTCCCACAGCCGCAGACCGACGGCAGGCGATTGGACTCGACCAAAATCTTCCCTTCTGGACCCCCACCCCACTCGATACATAGGTACCTAGATATTTTACAGTGGAACCACGGATCATTCAATTCGCCGTAACTTCGTCCACCAACGGCGATCGAGGAAGACAATCCCTGGCGCCCCCGCAAACCGAACGCCGGGACCCATCTGAAATGCACCTGCTGCAGGGATTGGTCGGTGCCCCGCCAAAATTTCTCCAAAGCTGATTTTCACTGATTGTACGGCCTTTTTTTTTTTTTTTTTTTTTTCCCTGAAGCGACGAAAGTTGTACAGCATCATTTTCCTTGCGACAGATACCCCCCAAGCGAACCTCCCCGGACGATCTGACGAATTTCATCTACGGTCCAACTCTTTGCAAAATCGGACAGAGGAAACTCACATTCTACCAATCGAAACGAAAAAGAGAAAAACAGAAGCCAATCTTCAAGATGGGCTTCTCCAAGCCAGGCAAGTCCATGGGGGCTTCGCTCACAAACAAGACGTCCAACAAGCTCAAGCGCAAGGAGATGTACGTCCTGCAAAAGAAGGACAAGGATAAAGCCCAGCGCGAGATGCGCTTCCGCCGCAAGAAGGAGGAGGACAAGAACCCCGAGCTCCGCGCCGCCCGCCTCGCAAAGAACAAGCCCCAGACCATCGACAGCAAGCGCGTCTGGGACGACGTCGACGACGACAGCCTAGGCAAGGTGGTGGATGTCGAGAGACTCAAGAAGAAGAGGATAGAAGAGGAGGAGAACGCCGCGCTGGAGCAGGAGCTCGACGCCGAGGATGGCGAGGACGATGACGAGGACGACGACAGCGATAACGACAGCATGCTCGACGACGAGGAAGACGAGGCCGCCGCCGCGGAGAAGAAGGCCGAGAGGGAGGCGCGGCGCGAGGAGAAGCGCCGCGCAAAGAGGGACTCCTCCGCCGCGCCCTCGACGACCTCGACGAACCTCGACCTTACCCCGTCCTCCCTCGCCCTCAAGTTCCCCAGCCTCTTCTCCGAGGACGCGCCCCCGCCCCCCAAGATCCTCATCACCACCTCCCTCAACTCGACCCTCCACCACGAGGCCAACATCTTCCGCACCATCTTCCCGAATTCCACCTACGTGCCCCGCTCCGCCCACCGATACGGCCACAAGTACTCCCTCCGCGAGATCTCCAAATTCGCCGCCAATCGCGACTACACCGCCGTCGTCCTCCTTAAAGAAGACCAGAAGAAGCTGACGGGCATGTCCATCGTCCACCTCCCCGTCGGACCCACCTTCACCTTCACAATCACAAACTTCATGGAGGGCAAGAAGCTCCCCGGCCACGGAAACCCGACGAACCACTACCCGGAGCTCCTCCTCAACAACTTCAAGACCCCGCTCGGCCTGCTCACCGCCGCCCTCTTCCAGCGCCTGTTTCCCCCGCAGCCCGAGCTCGAGGGCCGCCAGGTGCTTACGGTGCACAACCAACGCGACTATCTCTTCTTCCGCCGCCACCGCTATGTCTTCCGCGAGAAGCGCGAGACGGAGAAGAACATCACCACCGCCGAGGGCTCCGAGATGAAGGGCGTCGAGGGCATCCGCGTGGGCCTGCAGGAGGTCGGCCCGCGCTTCACGGCCAAGCTGAGAAGGGTGGATAAGGGTATCGGCAGGGCGGGCAGCGAGGGCGAGGAGTCGCAGCCGTGGGAGTGGAAGGCCAGGATGGAGAAGGACCGCAAGCGGTTCCAGTTGTAGAGAGAGCTTTTCGTGTGGTCTTCGGTCACCTCGGTCGCTGCGGATGTCGGGGTGTCAGGTACAGTGATGCATTGTATTGTTGGCCAGGGGGTACCCCGTACGGCGTTATTTATATGGCTTAAAAAAAAAAGGGTAGACTGGGCTTTTAGACATGTCATGTCGCGTATCACCACAAAAGAAAGAGGCATAAAGATGCGCCGGGTTTTGGTTGGAAAATAAAGGAAGTATTTTATTTTTCCCTTACTGCGAATTCGAGTGCCTGTGTTCCCCATACGCCGAGCCATGATAGGTTTGGGTTCATGTAAAAAAAGGTATCATCCCAAATAGACCCTGTCTAATCCCGACGGGCTCAATCTACTCAACGCCATCTTGATTCCCATGATCCCCATGCTGCCAAAAGAAAAGAAAACCCGTTTCCGAAATTTTATAAAGTCAACGGAGAGCCTCAGCCGATATGGCCATGACCTACTTGCGCTGGTTGCGCTGGTGCTGAAGCATGACGACGGAGTAGCTATGTGAGTCGTTAGTTTGATGTTCGTATGCAGAAAGGCTCTGTTCACAACTCACGCAACAATGCCTCCAATAGCAACAAAGACACCAAGAACCGACTTGTCGCCGATAGCTCTGCCCGAGACCATCCAGCCAAGAGCAACAATGGTGCAAGTCTTGAGGTGGCCAACAACGGTGCTGGACACGGGACCGGTCTGGGCGATGATGAAGAATTGGGAGATGTTGATAAGCGAGGCAAAGGCGCCAGACTATGCGTTCCAGGTTAGCAAGTGAATCAAGGCACTCGAGACGGAAAAGACATACCATGCCGATCATGATCCAGCGATTGCCAGGAACGTTGACCCAGTCGGGGAAAGTGTCGACAAAGGGAATGACGTAGAGAAGCATGAAGGAGGCGATGGGGGCCTGGTTGTACAGCAGCTGCATGCTGGACATCTGGAGCTTGCGGTGGTAGCTAGCGATCCAGACGGTGTAGAGAGACGAGGCAAAGATGCCAGAAAAGGCAAAGACGACACCCAGAGTGGAGGTGGTCTTGACCTTGTCGTCCTTGGTAGGCAGAGAGTCGTAGTAAGAGACCATGCCGACTCCGAGGCAAGCCGGGATGAGCGCCATTATCGCATTCCTGGGCAGTGTCGCCTTATAGAGCACAAAGTTCATGAGCGCGACGGTCGGCGTCAGCAGGATCCGGGCAATCTGGTAAAAAGTCACGGAAGAGAAGGCCAGGGAGAGATTCGGCAGGATGACGTTGAGGCACATGGCCACGGAAAGCGGCAGCAAGTCCCGGATGGCAGCACGGCGCGGAGTGAAGTAAGCGAAGGTAGGCCGAGAGAGGACGAACAGCGTGCCGAAAGTGACCAGGAAGTGGAAACTCGCAAAGGTGAGCTGGCAGAGCTTCCACTGAGGGTCGGAGAAGATGGCCTTGTTGGTGAAGACCTGAGGAAGGTATGGTCAGCATGTCGAATTTCCCTCTCTAGGAGATCGCAGGTTTTAATGGTATACTCACGATTCCAATAGTCGCCAAGGTGTTGACGGTCATCCAGATAATGGCAAAAGTCATGCTGGACTTCTGGGGCTCCTCCTTCTCATTGGTCTTGGGCAAGAGCTTCTCGTCCTCCTCGGTGCCCAGCTCCTCATCATTGTGCGACTTGAGGTTCTGAACGCTGTCCTCCATCGGGTCCAACTTGGTCAGCTCGTGGAGAGTCGCGGCGTCGGTGGATGATGAGGCGAAAGAGCCCGCTCGCTCGGTGCGGTAGTCGTCAGTCATGGTGGGCAACGACGAGAGATGGCGAGGCGAGGTTGTTGGTGTGGAAGAAAAAGAAAAGCAGACAAGCTGAGTGAGTGAGTGAGATGCGAGTCCACGGTGGTGAGCGGAAGCAAAAGGGAAAGAAAAGGGCGGGCAGTCGGCGCAACGGTGCGTGAATTCAGAGTAGGGCCGGTGCTGATGAATTGAGATCGTCGCCGGATGAGGACTTGGGGCCCTATTTCAGTGTACCATGGGAAGTCGGGTTGCACAAGGGAGTGTCGAGAGTGGAAAGCCGTCGGTTCGTTGGAATGCTCTGAAGGGAGACGCCTCGTCTGGTAGAATTCCGGAAGGCAACCGCGGAATTGAAGGGAAAGGGAGTAAAGTAGACAGACGGGTGCAAATATAACGAAAATCGTATGGGAAGGTCCGAGGCGGCGGCGGCGTCCCAAAGTAAGTACGTCGTTCTTGCCCGTCTGGTGTGCCAGTTTGGGGTTTTGTTCTTTCTCTTTTGCGTCAGACTCTGGGCGAAAAAGGGCTGGCGGGGGTCTCGGTGGTGGTAGTACGAGCAAGTACGAGACGACCTGGGAGGTTCCTTCCCTAGTCGTAGCTACTAATAGTTACTAGGCAGTGACCAGCACCTACCCCGGGCTGAAAGCAGAGAGAGCAAGAGCAAAAGTAGCAGGGATGAGGGATGAGGGATGAGAAGGAAGGAGGGAGACGTAAGGAAAGGGCAGGGGAAGGTGCGGGCCCCACGACCCCGTACCGGGACTTGCGACGTGCGATTTGCGACTTTCACGACCATCACACACATTGATGGTGATTCTGGCACTGCCGTTGCTGTCGCGGCGCACACTCTCGCTCAACCTACCCACACAGACTTGCGCACCGCTGAGAGGACTGCATAGAAACAATGTCTGCATTCCGAATGCTTGGCACACGCTCAAACATCATGACGAGAACCACCTAATCAAGCTATGGCTGCCTTCCTCTCTTTTCTCTCGATCCGGCGGCATGGACCATAAAGTGGCCAGCCATCCCATCTGAACAAACAAGACGAGGCCAGACCCTGCTCTGCCACCCCGCCGTCGCCGCCGCCGCCCCGTCTTCCCTGGGAGAAAGCCCAGTACAAGGCTGCAAGCCATTTGCACCATGGTCCGTTTCCCTGGACTCGGGTTTAGGAGGGCATCGAGTCCTGTACCGTACGGATACAAGCACCAAAGGTCTTGAACGTCCTTACACCAAGACATAGAAAAACACCTGCAGATCGAGATGGCTGCATCAAGAGCCACCAATCCAACCGGACGCAAGCCCACGAGTTTCTTGAACTGGACGGGAGCTGTTTTCTGGCGTCCGCCTTTCTTTTCTGGTCAGTCTCTCTGACTTTCCTGCCTGCCAGCCGGCCTCGCCCTCATCTGCCACGGTGGCTTTCTTCCTCTTCCCCAAACCAGAGTCTCGCAGCGCATATTGTGTATCCGTACGAGTACATGCTGTGGCCCACACCACGTAAGTTAGCGCCAAGCCACTAATACTTCGTAAGCTTCAGCCCCGCTCGAGATCCAATTAGACCCGACTCGACAATCTGCAAGTCTCTCTTCACCCGTCGTACCCGTCACATCTGCAACACCACAGCATGGCACCAAGCCTGCCGTATGCAGCACACTCGCACTCGATCTCGCCGTTAGCTTCGCTCCAGTCGGGTTCCGTCATCACAGTTGTTGACACCTAGGGCAAATAGAAACACGAGATCGTACTGTTCTTCGCCCGACAATCGCTCCTTGCATCCGTTGTCGATGCTTCGAGCAAGGACGAACGCAGCCTCATATTCTGCCTCAAGTCGTTTGTCCAAGCAGTTCGACTAGCCATCCTCCGCGAGCAGCTTCAGAAATAACGGACAGCCCGATATGCGCCCAACTCTCTCCGACAGCCGCCCCAACCTTGTCTAATTATTTGCACTCTCGCTCTCGCCGGCATCCCAGCGTGAACTTTCTGTGATCCGATCCAATTCGCACACGCGTCACAGTGTGGACCGTGGGCAATGGCCTTGACACAGAGAGGGTTTCGACGGAGCTGCCCCCTGGGATGGCGGCTGCTCTTGAGGGTCACACGGCGCCGTTTCTCTGGTTGCGCCGGTTCGCTCGGTTCCTACTGGGTCGGTCGTCCTGCTCCATCGACTTGAACCAATTATCCAGCTGTCAAAAGTTCTCGCGGATAGAGTTTGGCAGAACAATTAACACCTAGATTGGAGAGTTTACTCCCTGAGACATTGGAGTCACGGTACGAACCTCCGCCAATGCTGCCAAGTGGCCTGCTGCCGGCCTCGCTCCTTGTCGCCAATATCTCTCGATGTCTGAAGGAATGCACCATGTCTTGGCCGCTGTCGCAGCTCATTCCAGCGGTCCTTCAGCATGAACAGCATACAACGTGCCGCATCGCCACGGCATCTTCTGCCGTCCGTCTGTCGGATTGCTCCACCGTTTCCCGCAAATTCTGGCGCGGCCAACCGTTGACGAGACTCTGAAATGTCTAGGACATAGGGGGGTTGAAACGAGCCGACAGCAAGTCATGTGTTTTGGCTGGGCAGCAGCGTGCAGTTACTGCAGTGCCTGGCATCTGTCGCTGGAAATGCCGTCCATGGTCCTGATCCATGATCGTCACTGCCCCTGCGCCAATCTCATCTGAAGACGCAAGCATGCAAGTCGAGTCCGCACAGCCGGGAGGAACGGGGGTTCCATGGCCTTGCCGGCTCCCTTGGACGCCAAAATTAGTTGGCCTTGTACGGCGTACTGCACAGTAGACCGCTCGCTTGACTTGGGGGCCATCTGTCGTCGGCTCATCTTGCTCAACATCCCTCGCGATGAACATGTCAGCGGTTGCGTGGAATCTGGCTACCGTCCGCTCCGTGCCAGTCTGGTATTGACCACTATTGTCTCCTCCCTCCGATAAGTCATCCTCGAGCGTTTCAGCATTCCCCAGACAGACCCTGAGGCAGTGTGGTCTACCATGGTGCTTTGGTCGATTCGTGGCATGAGGGGGAGGATGGGAAAGATGAGCACCACATTCTTGCGCGTCTACCACCCCACATAGCCCATTGGAAGCCACCAGGGACGCGCGCCCGGCCTCCCCAGCATCGACGGCGCCCGCTGGCGCCGGAGCTGGTGTTGCCTTTGCCCATCACGGCTCCACGTTCAAGGAGCCGGGCGAGTGGGAGAAGCCGGCCTAGCACGCTCCGCTGTCGCCATCGTCGTCAGCCAATGGAGCATCGTGAGCCGGAGACACATTCGTCAGTCTATCCGTGAACGTCGGCCCTAGAGTGGCTCGTATCGGATGTTTACAGCATTGATGACTGCATCTGTGGCGTCCGTTACGGGCCGGTTCACGAGCATGTTTCTTGCTGTCGTGTTTACCCGCAGGCCAGCTCAAAGCTCCTCGTCTCTCGCTGGAAGGTGTGGCCGGGGACGGAGCTCGACGAGCAGACAACTGCATCTAGGTCTTGGCGGTGTGATGGAGTAAAAGTGTAAGTACTTGGAGCCAGGGTTGCAAAAGTGCGAAATCGTTCTGCTGTGTAGACCTCGCTGAACGTGGGCATGTTGGACATTCCAGCGCTTCTGGCCCCTGACATTCTTTTTATTTTTTTTTCGCCCCTGCCACCCCTGCTTTCTCCCTCCCTGATGAACGAGAAGAGCCCAAAGTATCACGGAGGCAAGGAGGCCAAGAAGGTGATGAAGAGATTGGTCGCGAGCCCCATCCCTCTAGGCGCAGAAGCAAGAACAGCGTATTGTCAGACAATGGGCTGAAAAGGAACTAGCGGCCGGTCTGGAGGCGTTTGTGGAATGGTCCCCCGCCCACGGCCGCCACGGCTGAGAAGCCAGTTGAGACTGGGACGGGCTGGGAATCTCAGGGCACTGGTCTATCTGTGGCTAGTTGGCAAACTATTCAGTGTCGACGCCTCGTGGTCGACCGTGCCGCCATGATACCCGTGGAAAGCGGTGTCTTGGACGTACGTAGTCGCTCTCCCTAGTTTTCATTAGCTTGTGCGGAAAGAAGGGGTCCCATTCCATTGGGAAGTCTCGTTTAGATTGGGGTTGCATCTGTCAAGTTGCTGCACGGCATCTCATGAAAAGAGCGGCTCCGGACGGGTATGGATTGGGGAATTGGAGGGAAAGGTGCTGGGAAGGGAAGCAGAGGGAAAGGGTCTGGGTACCGAGAAAGTACCTGTCGCCATGGACGTCAGAAAGCAAATACGTACCGTTACTTGTCCGGTTCAACTAGCTGCCAATTGGCTCTCAAGTCTTGATGCCTTTCTGTACGTCTCTCATCATCACATGATCCATCAACCACAGCGAGCATATTACGTAAGGTACCTCTCCCGGTGGTCGATACTCGAAATCGCCCACTCCGACAAAACGCCGTTCAAAATACAAGCTTTTGCCGGCCGGGTATTCGCGAACTGCAGACAAAAGTGCGCCGTGTGCGTGCTGCCGGGAAACTGGAGCTGTATTTTATTTTTGGGACATCGCGAGGGGCCGCGGCGGGAGAGCCTGAGAGAGTTGTCGTGGACGCAGCCTGTGCCTGGATGCCATGCCAGGGTTCCCTTGGAAAGTCCCCGGTTCGCACTAATTACACAGATGCTCGAGGAAAAAGCAAGCACATATACCTCGCTGTTCACATAGGACCTAGGCTGCTGCAATCGTCAGTGGCAGTGGCTGACGTCTAATACTGAGGGAGTTGAGAGCGATATGAGAGATTGAGGGTACAGATGCAAAGTACAGATACTTTGGAAACACAGGCAAGCGTCATGTTTCAAGATGTTGCTTCCCGGCCAAGGCCCTCTTGGTGTCCACCCCCACCATCCACCTCTCAGTTTCGCTCTTCCGTACCGCACTACGGATGTCACCACTATTATTTGCGATCCCATTCTCATCGCACTTGTTTGTCCTGCACTTGTCTTGTACCTAAGTACGGCCAGGTTGTTCCTTTCCCAGCAGTTGCCGCAGCTGCTGCTCCGAGGGCAGCAGACCAGCAGCCATCCACTTTCTCCCACACCGGGCTAGATCGTCATCCATGAGATTGTTCCCCAAAACATCAGCCAAGCACCCACACTCAATTGGAGCGACGACTGTGGCTGCAGTCGTAATCGCAAGGAAGCCACATCCGCTGCTAACGAAAATCTGAGTGAGAGAGGAAACCCAGCCAGGCAATAAGCTGACCTGCCTTCATGTCCCGCTATACTCTATACATGATCCAAGCTACTTCGGTTCCGCTGCGTACGAATAACCAGAAGCCCTCTCTCAAGTCTCTTAATCAGAGACGAACAGACGTCAAGAGACACGTTGCCAAGTACTCGCCGCAGCTCGGGCCGGTACTTGATTCTATCCTGGAGCTACGGATACCCGCCCTGTACCTGGTCGTCTATGCCCGTTCCCCAGTCGAGCTTACGCCAATCATCTCGGCCCTTGCTGATCTGCTGTCCACCGACCGCCTCAACTTGGGATGCCTCTTACAGCCTACGCACACCATCTCATTTGAACGCCTACGACGGTTCCATATGCACCTTGCCGAAGCTATCTGAACTCTAGCTGTCTCTGCCACAGACTCTTTTAAAGGTGGCAGGTATCCAGTTCTCGCCTTCCAAACCTCCGTGCCACTGCTCATCTCAGCCTACTGCATCCATCATCTCGTGAGACGGAACGACAAAGCGACTAACCACAAAAAAAACTTTGGGCCGACAGAACTCCTTGAATTCTCTCTCTCCCTCATACCTGTCGCCGCCGTTCCTGCCCACTCACTTGCTCCTGCCAATATTTCTCACTACTAGTTACTACCACTACTTTTTTTCGCGCTGTCAATACGACTGATTCGCCATAGCCACTCCGCTTGGCTCTCACTAACGAACCATCCATCCTTCAACCACCGCGGACCACGTTCGGCCTCCCTTGCTTCAGTTGCGCGCGACTCGGGTTGGTGTGAGTGAGACAGAACAGGGCACAGATCGCCAATGGCCTCGATTTAGACGTGATAGGGATATCCCATATCTGAGGTAAGATTAATTGCCCGATATGAGTGTGTCTTGCGTGTGGGCATCCAGCTAAACTCACTTTTAGGGCCACATACTCTCTCCCTTGAAAGCCCAGCTGGCTTTCCCTACTTGTACTTCAACCTCGCACAAGCCTGACTCGCAATCGAACCCGAACCTTAAACTCTCTTCGAGCTCCCGACACCGACCAGTCCGCACGACTTTCCTCAACCTCTCTCACACGCACACAACTAAACGACAAGCCAATTTACAACAGAGATACCGTTCCGACCGTCGAAATGACTCAACTCAACGGCCAGAACCGGGCGCCGAGCAGTACGTTGAAAATCATCCTTATCAACCCTTATCACCATCCGTGGATGCTAACCCTCAATCCAAGCTTACAGCAATGGTCACGGCAAGTTCTTCCAGGATGGAGGTATATGGAAGGAGGCGCCCTTGCTCAAGGGCACCACCAAGTTTGAGCCTCTTCCCGATGTCAAGAACATCATGATCACCGGCGGCGCAGGCTTCATGTAAGTCGCGGTCTTGGCACCGCGGTTGGCCCGCAAGCTAACAAAATACCTCAAGCGCATGCTGGCTCGTCCGTCATCTCACTCTCACTTACCCCGACGCATACAACATCATCTCATTCGACAAGCTGGACTACTGCTCGTCACTGAACAACACTCGCGTTCTGAATGAGAAGTCAAACTTCACCTTTGTTCACGGCGACATCACCAACCCCACAGAAGTCCTCCACTGCCTGAAGCGCTACAACATTGACACCGTCTTCCACTTTGCCGCCCAGTCACACGTCGATCTGAGCTTCGGTAACTCATATGGATTCACTCACACCAACGTTTACGGCACCCACGTTCTGCTTGAGAGCGCCAAGAGCGTCAACATCAAGCGCTTCATTCACATCTCCACCGATGAGGTCTATGGCGAGGTGAACGATGACGATGACGACCTTCTCGAGACCAGCATCCTCGCACCCACGAACCCTTACGCTGCTTCCAAGGCTGCCGCCGAGATGCTTGTCCAGTCCTACCAGAAGAGCTTCAAGCTCCCCGTCATTATCGTGCGCAGTAACAACGTTTACGGACCGCACCAGTTCCCCGAGAGTATGTCATCAAAACACGTCCAGCCTCTTGCATCATAGCTAACCAACCCGCTCAGAAATTATCCCCAAGTTCAGTTGCTTGCTGAACAGAGGCCAGCCCGTCGTCCTCCACGGCGACGGAAGCCCCACCCGTCGCTACCTGTTTGCCGGCGACGCGGCTGATGCGTTTGATACCATCCTCCACAAGGGCCAGATGGGTCAAATCTACAATGTCGGATCCTACGACGAGATCTCCAACATTGATCTCTGTAGCCATCTCCTCAAGGAGATGAAGATCCCCTTCTCCACGACGGACGAGTTCAAAAAGTGGGTTAAGTACACACACGACCGTCCCTTCAACGACCACCGCTACGCCGTCGACGGCACCAAGCTGCGCCAGCTCGGCTGGGACCAAAAGACAAGCTTCGCCGACGGCCTTCGTATCACCGTTAACTGGTACCGCCAGTTCGGCGAGGAGTGGTGGGGTGATATCACCTCCGTCCTCACGCCTTTCCCTGTCGTCCAGGGACTGGATGTGTCTGCGGACCAGGAGCCCGTGGCCGACTCACCGCCTACCCCCGAGTCGAAGAAGAGAAAGGTGATTGATGGTGTCAATGGCACCAATGGCCACTCTGTCAGAGCATAGACCACACGCTCATCAGTGGTCGAGTGGTTGGGAGGGGGACGGAGGGGGAATGAATGAGAGACATGAAAATTGACACGAGGAAGGGTGTGTTCCTTCAATTGTTACGATGTAAATCCTTTAGAGACGTGCAACATGGTCTGGCGTATGGCCAAAGAAAGCTTGGCAAGTTTGCAGAACACAACACACAACACATTTTTCTGGCTCCGGTTTATGGCGGGGGCGTAAAAGGCACACAGTATGGCGGTTCAATCATAGAGAGAACATATGGTCGATGGTCGGCAAATGAAACCTTTTTCTAAAGTCAAGTTCATGTTTTGAGATTCATGTGTGATGCGTTCCCTTGATAGAAGCCTGTATGAGACTTCTTGATATTGTGCTTGTTGACGAATGATTTTCACCTGGGAAGAATAGAGGGCCAAGAAAAGACATGAAAGTGAGGAAGGGTATGTGCTATAGCTCAAGGAGCATGATCAAGCTGTTCATATTGTCTGGCTTGTGTGCAATTGAACACATATTCAATCCTTTGTCTTTTGCATGTCCCTTACGCAATGAAGCAGTGAATTCTCACAAGACCAGTAGAATGATACCAGGCTATCACGACGATCTAGACATGAAGTGAAATTGACTACCCTTCCCCTCTCTCGTGACAAGATGTGGGCCAAGGTGTAAGCGAGAGAGGGGAGCGGCGGTGGCATGCAGGTTCACACGTTTCGATGTTGGTCCTTGTTGGAGCGTGAACCATCTCTTTGGGTCTTCACTTGGGTACCGAGGCAAGGGGGAGCATTGGAACAACAGGAGCATATCGAGCTATCTATCTATGTCTGCTCTCATTCTGGATATTCAACCTCAATGGGATAAATAACGACTCACTCAAATATGGAAAAGGTTTGTACTGTTCAATCTGAGGAAGGCGGGCAGGTTTCCCACATGCGAGAACAAGGACAAAAGTGAGATCACGGGGCTGTGCCTCACGGAGACTTTTGATGACGAATCTGGCGACATTCAGCTGTGGGCAGTCATATTGCTTTTTTTCGGATTTCTTTTTACTCGTGATTCTTCCCATGAGGGGAGGGGATGAGGGGTTGGACCACGTGTTTTTCATTCCCTCTTTCTGACATGCAGATGCAGGAGGATTCGTTGCTGGGTTCATTTGATTGCTTTTTGGGTGTTCGAGACTCTAGCAAACCAGCCGACTGGCCCGATGAAACCCCGCCTCTTTTCATTCCATTTCCACATGTTTCTTGGTCATGATGTGCTAGTTTGTTCTTTCTTTCTCTCTCTGAGATCCTAGTGTCAATGCTAAATGGTCAATGGACCATCTGTATGGATAGATTGGTTGCTAGACGAGAGGGATAAGAGTCTCGACCCATACGGACGGTACTATTATTCCGCTTCTCTCCTCCTCTTGGAGGATGGTCAAGAGAATGCAAGGCAAGGTACGGTACCGCGCGAATGATCCGAGATGGATTTACACCCCTGGTCACCAACTTTCGTTGGTTCGGGATCGGACTTCTCGGAGGCGGAGGGATTCGAGCCGTTTCTCTTTGAACTTGGGGTCCCGGATACCTACCTTACTCTACGAGGTTTGTGTAACCTACCTAGATTGGCAGGATTGGTAATGCCGTGCAGCAGTAGCAGCTGCTTCTCCCCTTCTTGCGTTATTCCTGCTTGCTGCTGCTGCTGCTGATGCTGCCACCAGTGCATGTTGAAATAGCCACGAGCGAAAGACATCAGGCTCTTGTCCGTCTCCGGACCCCACCTTGTACGGGCTTCTTCAATCTTATCTTGGAACCCGATGGGTTGGCGGATCGAAGGTGGGAGCGGCCGTCACGTAATTAAAGGTACAGGAGGAGTAACGACTGAGGAGTTGCCCTCGTCATACGCCCATTGGCGTCCACGTTATCGCACAAGTTCGGACTTGGATGAAGGTTGGATAGCACGTTTTCCGTTTTCCGTTTTCCTGGTGATCAAATCCGTAGACAGGGATTGATACTCCGTGTTGACAAAGTGCTAGGCAATCGTCTTTGAGGCTTCAACTGCTTGGCCCCCCCCCCCCCTCTCTCTCTCTCTCTTCTCTCTTCTCCTCCCTTTGGGTTCCCATCCTCTTCCCCCTTGGACGTGCTTGAGCTTCTGGGTAAGGGCACATTAGGTGTGGGCGGGGGTCCCGGGGGGAGACGACCTGCCTCGATCCACAATCACCGGACCCATCCATCCCCGAGACCCGGGCCAACCAGAGTGGCAGAGAGAGGCCTGGGAGAGAGACAGAGCCCCCGAGGCGCGGTTGTGGACTTTGGGACTTGTGGTTCGGTGGGGTCTGAAAGGGAAAACCCAAGCCTCCAAGGTTCCAACGGCGGGGGGCCACGGAGAGGGGGGGGGGCTGTCCCTCATCCTTGGGCCTGGGAGTTCCTTGGGCCGTGGACGCACCGCCGCGATGGAGGGTTCTAAGTGAGTGCCTGTGCGTGGGTTTTCTTCTGACTTTTGAGCCCAGGCTTCCGTCCCATGCTGTTGGGAAAAGTATCGCAAGTGGGAGCCCCGAGTTGGGGTAAAGGACGCGCAGAAGGGTTTGGTGCGCCTTGCCTACCAATGACGAGGGGAAGTACCTTCGTATCGTACTCTCAGAGGTTAAGAGATGAAGAGATGGCATTCTGTACTCCGTATGTAGGCAGTGGAGGGTATGTTGCAGCTTGCCTGCAGCCTCCATCTACTACCTTGGGTGCTTAGGTGCAGTAAGGTGCTGATTGCCTGTACCGCAGGGTTCCGGGTTCGTATCAGTCTTCCTTCCTAGACTTTGTTCTAGATGAGCGAGGCAGATGGTTCATCATGATTTTGTCGAATCCTCGAGCATAGCAGGCAGCCTTATTTATCCAATCTGTGAGCCGCCGGGAATCTTTAGTTGGTTGGAATTGCAGCCTCACACAGTAGATGCCCAGGGCAGTGTTTCTTCACAACAACAATGTGTACCCTGATGCAGCACACTGACCTTGCATATCCAGCGTGCCAATGCAGAGAGCTTGGTGGCTCGAATGCGCGAATGAGATTTCATTTCTTTCGCGTCCTGCATACTTAGACAGTACTCTGTAGGCATAGAAGCGTACTAGAATTGGAGCAAGAGGTCCAGACGCAACGAAATGATACCTCGAGCCCGCACCACCCACCTCTGGGTCCCTTAAGATGCCGTTTTAACGACATGGCCTTCGTCCACTCCCGCAGCTACTGTGCAGTAAGGTATCCAAGCTCGTGTCCCCGTATTAGTCTCTAAGCCAGTCGGACTCTTGGAATAAGAGACTCTCCGTAGTAGGTTCCATTGGTAGAGCAACGATCTCCACGGCAGCTCCCACGGTTTCTGCCGCTCTGTCTGTCTACCGGTAACAGGTCCAACGATGCGAGACAGACAGTCTACGGTGTACAGTAATGTATTGTATGTATGAATATGAATGTATGCCCGTTGGTACTTCAGCAGTGAAGAAAACCCTTGATCGTTTGCCCCGTCGGTTCCCACCTACCCCCTCGTCCGTCGTCCCTCGTCGTCCCGGTCCCATCGCCAGCGTCCTTGCGAGATCCCGGCACCTGTCAGGATTTCTGCACAGGATTAGAGCAATGCACTGGCCAAGGGCACCCGCACTAGGACGTCCTCCCCGGAGCAGCCATTCCCTTTCAGTGTTAATCCTACCCGACTGGCAAGTCACGTCGTCGCCTGATTATCCTCAAAACGAACGTCCTTTCCACTACTTCGTGCCCCCCCAAGCCTACCTCAAGCCATCGCCGCTCATAGTCCCGTCCTCCCGCGTCTTCCCCTTCGAGAGAACCCCTTCTTTCAACCTTCTCCCGCTTTGCCGCACTCGGTCTCGTACCATCTTTTCTCTTTTGTTCCTCCTTCTCAAGTCTACACCAGGGAATAAAACACACTTTCCACCATCTGCCCGAGCAATCGCAATCGCGACCACCGATCGGCCGACCGATAGCATCCGGATTTGGCACCAAACTCGCCAGTCCTCTATTTCCGTCCCTTGGGGTTTCCGCGAGAACCCACTCCGTCGCCCCCCTTTACTGGCCCTTTACTGGTAACCTAATCAACCTCGACGAGAACGACAAAACCCATTCTCCTTTTCTACTCGCAGCCGCCAAACAAAATCAACAACCTCCCCTTCCCCGGCATCCCGTCACGGGTCATGACATGACGTTCCGGGGCCGCCGACTAGGAACAGAAAGACCGCGATAGGGACCCCTTCGATCTCAGACCCTCCCCGGGTGGCACAGACGGACGGGACGGGTCTCGGCCGCCGCCGCCCATGGCCAGGAAGCGGCGCACCAAGAAGCGCAACAAGGGAACCAGCACGCGACCAGACCCCGCGCAGGGCGCCGAATCCAGCATGTCCACCACCGACGAGCTCGCCTCCCACTCGAGCGACGGCCTGTCGAGCGGCATGCGCGACACCGGGAGCGCCGCCACCGAGATGACGAGCGTCATGGGCAGCACCGACGACGGTTCGCAGGCCGGTCTCGAGGCCGACGAGGAGTGGAATTCGCAAGAGGAGGAGGGCATGGAGGTTGACGACGACGATAATTTTTCTGTGTTTGCGCCGAGTCACTACCCTCGACCAAGCGAGTCGCATCGTACCGAGATGCCCTACATGACGTCGCCGAACCACCAAGATATGTGAGTAGTTTTCTGGAATCTGTGCTGTTTTTTTTTGTTCCTGGTTCACACCCGCGCAGAGAGCGCCGAGTGACGACGGTGTAGACGTAGGCTGACTAGGAGTTTAATCCAGGTCGTCAACGAGGTCATTTATGGAGCGAGAGTTGGATTACCAATGGGATAACGGTCGTCGATACTGCGGATCCCACTACCACCTACCAAACGACGAGTGGGAAATGTGCCGCATGAGCTTAATCCACAGAGTCTACCTCCACGTTTTCGACGGCAAGCTGAGCACGGTACCGATGGAGAACCCACAGAGGATACTGGACGTCGGCACGGGCATTGGCGAGTGGGCGATAGGCATGGCGGACGAGTTCCCCAACTGCGAGGTCATCGGCACAGACATTTCCGCCATAGCGCCCACGTCAATACCCATGAACTGCTTCTTCGAAGTCGACGACGCCGAGCTCGAGTGGGAGCGCGAGCTCAACTCGTTCGACCTGGTGCACTTCCGCCACATGATGGGCGCGTTCCTCGACTGGAACTTCATCTACAAGGAGGCCTTCAAGGTTATCCGCCCCGGCGGCTGGATCGAGCTGCTGGACTGGGACGACCAGCAAGGGTTCAAGAAATTCCTCTCAGAGTTCCCTCCCACCTCCGAGATCCACGAGCTGTCGAGAGACCTGACGCAGGCGGGCGTCAAGGCCGGGCGGGCGAGGGGCGTCGCGCACATGAACCCGAAGCTGCTGACGGACGCCGGCTTCACGGATATCAAGCTGACGGAGCACACGATACCTATTAATCTCGAGTCGAGCGAGGGCAAGCTGTGGCTGATTGCCTGCATCGACGGCTTAGAGGCCGAGTGCCTGCGGCCGCTTACAAAGTACATGGGGTGGGACCCTGACCACGTCAAGACGGCCTGCCACAACGTCGCCAGGGAGATGGCGCGCCTGGCGAGAGATCCGATCAAGTCGCATGGTCTCATCGTCAAGGCGCGCGTGTTGGTGGGCAGGAAGCCGACGACTGCGGTCACGCCGCCGAGAGTGTACCCGATTTTTAACGACGACGCTGATGAGACGGACGATACCGCACGAGAGGATGCTTGCAGCAGACACCATGATGATGATGAGTCCGCCGTCGAGACGGCCGTCTGAGTTGTCGAATGACCTACTTACCTTCACCTTTTTGGTGAGGCGAGTGCAATAATTTCCGCTCTATCCGGGCGACGAACAGCCCGGGTCTAACTAAACAAGAGCAAACCATTTTACCTTCATGTTCACTTGCATATATCGCAACTTCCACAACCGGCAGAAGAGGGCGGCCGGTCATATTTAAAAGCGATCAACAAACTTGCATAGCTCCTACTTATTTACCTTATCTTCTATGGAAACCGGACGGGGTCGAGAAAAAGTATCTTGCCTTTAAGAGCGATCAAATGAGGATACTACTTGTATCAAAATGGCGGATGGGAGATTCGAGGAGGACTCGAAGTGCACCATTGTGCAGGTCAAGGGGGTTGAAAGATATCCTAGCTACTAGGCAGATCAAGGATAGTCATCGAGAGAAAGATGAAAATAGACGAAGCTCTCCATTTGATGCAATATGCTTGGCTGTGTGGCGAAACGAAGAAATTCCAGTGAAGATTCCGCAGAGGTGCCGAATGACCTGAGGTGATGGAATTATCACTTTACCAATAAGGTACCTTGAGCTTGAGGCATCTGAGAGCTCGGTGCTTCGAGAGTACGTACCGCCCTAGCTCCGTTCCCAGGTTGCAGTGGGGGGACCGGCCGAGCTCCCTGCCTATGTCATCCGTCCTCCATTCAACAGCGACCACACACATAATCACCAGCCTCCAACGAGCCGTCCACTTTGCGCAACCGCAGCTGGCGCACTCACCAACGCTCGAAGCGAAACCACGATCCCCAGCGACGATGCCTGTATGACCTCGACGTAGCTTTCCCCTCGAATCATGGCTTTGAACCCCACCGACGGCTTCGTCGCCGCCGGCAACGGGGTGCTCGACCTGGACGACGCCGCGCTGCCCATGTTCATCGTCGAGCGAGTCCAGCTGCAGTTCTCCATCGCGGCCGACTTTGTCGCCGCCCAGGTCGCGAACAATGTTTTAGTTTTGGCCTTGTCCAACGGACGTATCTTGCGCATCGATCTTAATAGGCCCGAGGACATTGATGGTGCGTTTACAGTCGTCGACAAAATGACGGTGCCTTGCTACACACGAGTAATGGGTTGCTAACCATGAGACTATTCACAGACATTGACCTCCCCAAGAAACCGGCAGAAATCGGCGTCATCCGCCGCATGTTTCTCGATCCGACCGCCTCCCACCTTCTCGTCTGTACGGCGCTCGGTGAGAACTACTACCTCCACTCCCAACACAAACACCCGCGCGCCCTGGCCCGTCTGCGAGGCGTCTCCATCGAGAGCGTTGCCTGGAACCCCTCGCTACCTACGGCCTCGACCCGCGAGATCCTACTCGGCGCCGCCGACGGCAACATCTACGAGGCCTCCATCGAGACCACCTCGGAGTTTTACAAGAAGGACATCAAGCTCAAGAACCTGCACAAGCTCCCGGATGGACCGATCACGGGACTCTGGGCCGACACCTTGCCGAAACGGCCAGACATGCGACGGGTCATGATTGCGACGCAGAGCCGGCTGTTTCACCTGGCTGGCAAGGTCGGCAGCGGCCACGACAGCGGAGGCTCGGTGTACACGAAGCTGTTTGAGTCGGAGCAGCCCGTCATCCATGAGCTGTCGCGCTCCTCGGCCGCCGCGACGTCTGCGCTCGTCGTCTCGCCGGACCCTCCCGACCAGAACCCGTACGAGGACGAGGCGCACGAACGGGCCTATGCGTGGCTGTCTGCGCAGGGCATCTTCCACGGGCAGCTCGCCTCGAGCGCCGAGGGCAAAAAGATATTCAATGAATCGAGCATGCTTCCGCGGGACAAGATTGGTTCGTCGTCTGACGGACCGGGAAGCAAGCGTAAAGCCACGGCGGATTACGTCGAGGCGATCGCGCTGACGCAGTGGCACATTGTCAGCCTGATTGGAGGCCGCGTGGTCGCCACGAATCGCCTGACCGGAGAGGTGGTCTATGACCAGATCGTGTTGGACCCGGGGCAGAAGGCTGTGAGCTTGTCTGTGGATCTGCAGAAGAACACATTCTGGATGTTCACTGGGCAGGAAATCTTCGAGGTCGTCGTCCGGGACGAAGATCGCAATATCTGGCAAATCATGCTGAAGCTGCAACAGTTCGACTCTGCGCTGCAGCATGCCAAGACGCCCGCGCAACGGGAGACGGTGGCGACCTCGTATGGCGACCACCTTGTCGCGAAGCGGCAGTATATGGAGGCTGCATCGGTGTACGGACGCAGCAATAAGCCATTTGAAGAGGTGGCTCTTACGTTTATCGACAACAACGAGCCGGACGCTCTGAGGAAGTATCTATTGGCGAAGCTGAGCACGTCAAAGAAGGCGGCAGTCATGCAAAGGATTATGATTGCGAGTTGGCTGGTGGAGATCTTCATGGCGAGGCTCAACTCGCTAGACGACACTATCATCACGCAAGCCGAGCTGGCGGACGGACTCAACCCGGCGCAGTCGAAAGAGCAGCTCCACGCTGTCCAGGGCGAGTTCCAGGATTTTGTCAACAAGTACAAGTCTGACCTCGACCGGCGGACGGTGTACGACGTTATCAGCAGCCATGGCCGTGAGCAAGAGTTGTTGCACTTTGCCAACGCCGTTAACGACTATAACTACGTCCTTTCGTACTGGGTTCAGCGCGAGAGGTGGCCCGAGGTGCTGACGGTGCTGAAGAAGCAGACGGATCCCGAGGTTTTCTACCGGTACAGCACTGTGCTTATGACGCACGTTGCTTCGGACCTGGTTGAGATTCTCATGCGCCATTCCGACTTGAAGCCTCGCAAGCTGATTCCCGCGCTGCTGGAGTATAACCGCAACTTTGAGGGCACCCCCCAGCAGAACCAGGCTGTCCGGTATTTTCAGTATGTCATCAACCAGCTCAACTCCAAGGACTCGGCAGTGCACAATACTCTCGTTTCGATATATGCTCAGACCTCCAAAGACGAAGCTGGCCTGTTGTCGTATCTGGAATCGCAGGGAGAGGAGCCGAATTACGACCCCGATTTTGCCCTTCGCCTGTGCATCCAGCACCACCGCACGCTGTCTTGCGTCCACATCTACACCAGCATGGGCCAGTACCTGCAAGCCGTCGACCTGGCGCTCTCGCACAACGAGGTTGAGCTGGCGTCTGTGATTGCCGACCGGCCCATGTCCAACCCGCCTCTGCGGAAGAAGCTCTGGCTCGCCGTCGCGCGCAAGGTCATTTCGCAGTCCAACGGCATCAAGACGGCCATTGACTTTTTGAAGCGGTGCGACTTGCTAAAGATTGAGGATCTCATTCCCTTTTTCCCGGATTTCGTTGTCATTGACGACTTCAAGGAGGAGATTTGCACGGCGCTCGAGGACTACGGGCGCAACATTGACTCGTTGAAGAAGGAGATGGACGAGTCGTCGCAGACGGCGACGAATATCAAGGTGGACATCGCCGCCTTGGATCATCGATACGCCATTGTCGAGCCCGGGGAGAAGTGCTACGTCTGTGGGCTGCCGTTGCTGAGCAGGCAGTTTTTCGTCTTTCCCTGCCAGCACTCGTTCCACTCGGATTGTCTGGGAAAGAGGGTGCTGGAGCAGGCTGGGGTTGGCACGAGCAAGAGGATCCGCGAGCTCCAGGTGCAGATTAGTAAGGGGCTGGTGAATGGTGCCAAGAGGGAGGCTATGATTATGGAGTTGGACTCGTTGGTGGCATCGGCATGGTGAGTTGACACCTTTTTGCTAATCGTGGAGACGGACGTAAGCTAACACACGTGTCGCAGTATTCTTTGCAGCGAGTTTGCCATTAAGAGGATTAATGAGCCATTTGTGACGCCACAGGATAACCTCAATGAATGGAGGATTTAAAGGGGGTTGTGTGGTGGCCTCCATGGTTTAGACGTACGCAGTCTACCTTATCTTTGTACATGATAGCAAAAACAAGAACCTTGCATGAGCAAGCGTTGCTTTAATGGCTGCAATACCCGGCGTTTTCAAATTCAAGAGTTTATTCAGAGCATATCCCAGATTATCGTTGGAAACTATTGATTATGCTTGTATGGTGAACCAGTATCTCGATTATTTACAATGATGTCAGGGCATTGAAAATTGAACTGGTTTGTGTTGGAGAGGGACGTGTGCTAGAGGGACATGGAGACGGGGGCTCTTAGGAGCCTGAGCAGTCGGTGACTTGCGTTTGCGAAGTCGAGAGCAGGAGGATGGAGACGATGAGGCCGTAGAGGCCTAGGACCTCTGCGAAGATGAGGATTAGGACCATGCCTGTGTATAGACGCGGTTGCTGGTTCGTTGCTCTGACTATTGGATGGGGTGTCAGTTCACTCTGGTCTATTCTCGTGCCCTTTCTCTGTCTCTCGACCGCAGGCCGTACGTAGTTTATTGACGGCAGAGAGTAAGCAACACAACGGTGGGGGGAAGGACGAGAAGGAAATGAACAGTTACCTCCAGCATCACCGACAATCCCGATAGCAAACCCCGCCGCGAGCCCACACAAGCCGACACTGATCCCCGCGGCGAACTGCAAGAAGCTCGTGTGCAGGGCCTGCTTCTCGGCGAGGCGGTTCGCGATGATGACGGCGGCGACGAGGCCGTAGATGCTGAGGATCTGGGCCATGATGGCGCAGAGGGTGTTTTGCATGAGGCGGTCGGGGCGGAGGATGCCCGCGGAGAAGATTGCGGCGGAGGATTTGGCGGTGCCGTAGGAGGAGCCGAGGACTGTGAAGACTATGGCGGATATGCAGCCCATTGCGCCGAAGAAGGACTTGTCATTGATGGTTAGAGGAGGAGATGGGATTAGATAGTGGGATATGGAAGGGAAGAGGGGGGGGGGGGGAAGGGACTTGGGGAGCAGGTTTCAAGGGTGGGGGGAGTGGCTTACGGAGTATGATGGACTTGGAGGATGAGGCGTGTTAGTTACGAGTATCGCGGGATTTGGCATGTTAGGAGGGGAAGATGAGGCTTTCCGTACCAGCGGTCCAGGTTCGCAAAGACGATTTCATCCATTCTGGTGACAGTAGTGGCGGGCGATGTGAGGATGGATTGTATTAGACTTTTGTGTTGATTTAAGCTTTTTCGATATTCCAGAGACCTCCAGATCTGATGAGATGATGGGTAGTTTCACGGGGAGGACGCATGGCAACGCATTACGAGTTATATATCATATGCGTTGGTTGCATCAGAAAGGCCTACTACTTTCTTGTCATACCACACGCATACATGCATAGCTCCTCGAAGCGACTTGGTTGCCTAAAATGCAGAATCAGGCTTGAAGGGTACCTGTTTTGTGGTTATGTCTTCGTTTTCTTTCGTTGAACCATTGACGATTCGCGGTGGCTTGTCACGACCGGGATAATTCCGCTCCGATCTTATGTTTTGTGCATACATGTGCTGCGCCGGGCTAGAGAGAGCCCTACGCGTGGTACAAATGCTGACTGCCTTACGCATACCTCAAGGCTATACGTACATTCAGCTGTTATGATGTACCAATGGAAAGACCTTCTGCGAACGAGCTGACTGGAAGGATGCGATGGCCGCGAACGCTCATGATTGGTTCGTGGTGGCGACGGGCAAGATGAGGTGAACCGGAGCGGCGCGGCCGGCGCCGGGGAGGGATCCACTCACCCGGCCGGTGTCAGGAATCCGGATTCGGGTCGCTTCACGTGATGATACATGTGACTTTGGGGGATGCTGCGCACGGTCCAAGGGGAAGGGGGGAACACCGTCGCAGAAATGCTTCTTTTTGGGGGATCTTCAACTCATGATTCGCCGTCGAGACGAATTGGCTGGCAACCCCCGTTCGGGAGGAAACGAAAAAAAGAGTGCGGGCGAGTCAGGGGGGAATCTTGCGCGCCAGATGTGCCAGATAGATGGGTGCGAACTTTGAGGAACGACGGTCGCCTCTATTGATCTGCACGAAGAGCGGTCCCGTCAGGCGGGTTTGGAGAGTCCTGACACAGTGACACTTTTGGAGTCTAATACCCCCATGGTATCCTTCTTTTTCTGTGTCCCGGGTGACCTTATTTACGGATACCATTCTTATTTTTACTCGGCCCGCGGACGAGAGAAAAGCGGACATGCTCACCCTACAAAATCCACTTCTCGTACGAATCATCAGAAATTCAAATACGACGAGCTGGAGAGGCCGACGGACCCGTGGTGGCCTCGTCATCCCTACTTTTTGGTCTCTTGGAGTTCCTGGACGTCTACCTACCTTTTGCAGTAGCGCCGGGACTTGGTGCTCTTGGCCCGGACGCTGGTCGCGCGCCACATCCCGGGCCATCGGATCTCGGCATCGGTATGGGAGTGGGGGAAGAAAGGGAAGCGTTTGGACGAAGCGGCGAAGCGCGTGGGTTGGATGACGGGCACTTCCTTTTTAGCTCTTTTTTTTCTCTTTCCCTTTGAATTCCCGTTCCCGCCATTGCCCTATTTCCCCGTCATGGAAGTCTGTCTGATTGACGACGATTTGACCCTAAGGCAAGGCAAGGCAAGGCTCGATGGACGGGCTCATCCGGATTCCCGGAGTGGCGATGAACGCACCTATGCAATCGGGTCTGTCGGCCAGCTAAAGTGAACTTTGTGAAGCAGATGATTCCTCACCGCGTTGCGCGTTGCGCAATCCATGAGCGAGCATGCGCGGGTGATGCTACGATCTCCGACGTCAAGAGACGCAAGCAGGAGATCTTCTCCAATGACTGATGCGGCTCTGGCGGCACCGTGTTGCCGGTGCTAGCACTTCTTTCTGTATCGTGAGACCTGGGTGAAGGGTAAAGGTGTGAAGGAGGTGTAGGCGTCGAGTATCACCAATTTTAGAGGTAACAAGTTCTTTCTTGTGTCTTGCTGCGTTCGTCGTCTTACCCCATGCTGGCTCGGACCGAGAGGATGTCTGGTTTTATCTGGGAACCGCAACAGTGAACACCTCCTCGGCTGGCCTCGAGTCGCAAGTCATATCCGTAGGTTGGTGTGGCCAGCGAGGGCGCCTGGCTGACCAGAGCGTTTGTGAGAAGCCTAGAAGGTAGGTAGGTAGGTACTCCGTGAGTCCGTAGCGATGTTGGTTCCAACGTGTCTGATATTCCGCTAGCTGAGACAGAAAAGGGTTCGCTGTTGGTCGGGGGTTACATTGATGCTCGCGTTTCACATGCAGCCATTTTTACCCCTGCCCAGCTGCTGCAACGCAACCGCACGACCACACGACCGCAACCCGCAACCCGCACCGCCCTCTTTTTTGCGCAGCCGTTGTGCGCTCTTCCTTCTTCGAGTACTCAGAGTGCAAGTGTGACTCTGCACCCGTACTCCGTAGACTGGGAGAGAGAGAGAGGGAATGTGGGAGCAAGGGGGGCTGGGTTGTCTTTCCTTACAGGCTACGGACCTACGGCTACCGGCCCACGCAAACTGCGGAAAAAAAAGGGCAGAGCACCGCAAAATAAAGGGGACGGGATGCTTAGAAGGGCAAGCTGCAAGCACGGCCACGCGTCTTTTTCGACTCCGCCTGACATGGCTCTCATCACTCGCTAGCCTCCCTTCCCTTTCCCTTCCCGTTCCCAGTGGCAGTGGTGACTGGTGCGTGAGAGTGAGAGTCTGTGATACTTGTGATACCTGTGATTCCAATACCCCCAACCCTTGTCGTTGAGAAGGTTTGACCCGGGGTCGTCCCGGGCTGGCATGGAGACCGACCGTTCGGCCTTCCCCTTTCTTGTCCAACCATCTTGCACCAATTCGCTGCTCCGTCCGTCGACATCCCTTCCTTCTCCCCTTCTAAGCCTCCCGCTGTAAGCGTGACCAAGTGGTCTCTCTCCACGGAGTATGCTGTGAGTCTCTCTCTCTGAGTATCTTCTCGAGGAGCAACTCGCTACTCCCGGCCTCGTCCAAACACGCTCAACCCCGGACCCTGTCCGCAACCCCCCCGTCAACCCGTCCAGTGCCCCGCCGAGCATGACGACGAAGTCAAGTCTGCGACTGGGTGAGACCTTTTGGACGAGACTGTGGCGCTTGGCAGTGTCAGTTCCCGCCTTGCCCATGGCCCGCGCTGCTGCTGTTTCTATTCCAAGAACAGAGGGGGACCAGAATTTTGACTTTTGGTACAAAGAAAGACTTGCATCTCATCTTTTGGCCTGCTTTCCTCGTCCAACCGCACTTTTTGGCCCTGCTTCTGCTCTTTTGGCTTCCTCTGTGCTTCCATTGCATTGGACTATTCTGCTCGTGCTTTGCTCTCTACTGCAACTTACTCATCCAAGACCACCACCTACGCGAGTTGGTAACTACTAGACACTTCGAGTCTACTTTCACTTTTCTTAAATCCTCCGGATCGCCGGATTTTCCCACTCACTACGTTTACGCGTTGCGCCGAAAGCAAAAAAGAGAGAAGCAAGAAAAGGCCATTGCTTTCGCCTTCCCGTCTCTCTAGTCTGGTTTGGTGGTCCGGTGCCAGCTCACCACTCCCGCCGCCCCCAACTCGTCTTCATCAGCAACGCAAGCTCCGCCACCATCACGGGTGACGAATCCTCTCCCCACCGTGCCGTATACCGAGCCCACTCCCCCCCGCGAGTAGTCGCCTTCACCGAACTCCGGGAATTCGCAACCGACTATTTTTTTCTCATCCTTCTAGTTTCCTTCTCTACCGTCCGTGTTGCGCCATCAATGACTTCATAGCACGACGCCATTCTCTTATATCTACATCCTTCGGCACCCTTGTCTTGGCGGCCGGTCGACACTCGAAGCTCGGATACCGATCTAATTCAAAGTCGTATAACTTGCCATACACACACAATCACACAGACTCAAGATGAAGTCAACAACATTAATAGCCCTCGCGGCTTCACTACTACCCACGGAAGGACTTGTGCTCAGGAAGAGCGAGAGCAGCGCACCAAGAGTGGTTGGGTTGGATCTGCACCGCGCGACGATACCGTACACACGCAACAAGAGGGATATGTTGAGGAAGAGAGGTTCAGTGCAAGCGACTTTGGACAACTTGGTAGGTCTATAACTGACGCCTTTTCGGTACCATTTCTAACACCTCCAAGGAAACTTTGTATTTTGTCAACGGCTCTCTCGGAACACCGGCACAGCCTATGCGGCTTCACCTCGACACCGGAAGTAGTGATCTCTGGGTCAACACAGCAAGTTCGGCTCTCTGCAAGGGTCAAGGCACGCCATGCTCCGTGTCCGGTACCTACTCGGCCAACGATTCGTCAACCTACAACTACGTCGGAAGCTGGTTCAACATTAGTTATGTCGACGGCTCGGGAGCGACTGGAGATTACGTGACGGATAAGTTCACCATTGGCGGATCTACTTTGACCGACTTCCAGTTCGGTGTCGGCTACACGAGTTCATCGGCGCAAGGCATCCTAGGAGTCGGATACAAGGTCAACGAAGTGCAGGTTGGGCGTGCCGGTTTGGCTTCCTACGACAACCTGCCCGCCAAGATGGTCTCTCAGGGCCTCATCCAATCCAGCGCCTTCAGCTTATGGTTGAACGACCTGGACGCGAGCCAGGGAAACATTCTTTTCGGCGGAGTCGACACGGAGCGTTTCGAAGGCGAGCTCAAGACCGTACCCATCCAGAAGGAGTCTGGCAGCTACGCCGAGTTCCTCATCACCCTGACAAAGGTAACACTCGGCTCAAAGACGTTGGACGAAAACATGGCCCTGGCCGTCCTTCTCGACTCGGGCTCCAGTCTCACGTACCTCCCCGACGACATGACCACGACAATCTACTCCATGGTGGGCGCCGTCTACCAGCAAGAAGAGGGCGTCGCCTTCATCCCCTGCTCCACGGCCAACTCGGGCTCCAACATGACTTTCACCTTCTCGGGCCAGCCCATCACGGTACCCATCGACGAGCTGGTGCTCGACCTCGTCGCCATCACCGGCAAGCGCACGTCATTCTCCAACGGCGTCGAGGCCTGCCTCTTTGGCATCGCGCCCGCCGGTGATGGCACAAACGTCCTGGGCGACACGTTCCTGCGCTCGGCGTACGTGGTCTACGACATTGACAACAACGAGGTCTCGTTGGCGCAGACCAAGTTCAACGCCACGAGCACGAATGTTCTTGAGATTGGCAAGGGCAGTAGCGCCGTGCCATCTGCCGTCGCCGTCGCGAGTCCCGTGTCCGCCACGGACGGTATCGTCCGCGGAGGGAAGAACGCCGCGCCGTCGTTGGCGCCATTGGCGGCGTCCATCTTTGCGGGATCTGTTGCCTTTGCGACTGGGTTCTCGCTCTACCTTTTCTAAACAACCAAAAACCAACAAACACACCGCATTCTGTTGGAATGGGTTTAGGGGAGCTTAATGTTTCAAACGGTCGATTTCTTTTTGGCATCTTCATAGCATTGCATTGCGAGGGCGTTTTTGGGTTCCTCATGTTTTACACAAGATTTTCAAGAATTATGGCTGATGTATCTGCATCGAGCAAGGCGTTATTTTGGGTGTGCATTCACAAGACAGCACTCATTCCTCTTTGGAGGAGGTTGAAGGAGAAAGAGATGAGTAGGATACGAAAGAGACGGTCGAACAGCCTGAAGCTGTTTGAGTAGAGCGATAACCTACAAAGAGATACCTAGAGCCAGACCCATCAGTCATAGTTTTGGCTGATTCACACAGAAGATTCTACATCTGTTTTTTTCCATCACATTCCGTGAACAATTCTCACGGCGTGATCCCGTCTGTAATTGATGCAGTTCAGCCGCTCCAACCAGTCGCACCAATCGAATCCGTTCCATGGACTGTGCACCAACCACGTGCTCCATCCCTCTTCATCTGATGTCTCTCACTCTCACTCTCTCTCCCTGTGTGTCTCGCTTGGGTTCTAAAAAAAGAAGTTCTTTACACCACGGAATACCGACTGTCCGGTTTCCAACCGCTGCTGTAGGCCCTGTAGGCCTGTACGCACCGCTCCTGGCCTGGCCTCTGACACAGAACGGGGACAATAGTACTCATCACACGCTTTTTGGGGAGAAGCTTGAAAAGGGGGCAGGCAATCCCCGTTTCCCGATTGGGCTTTGCCAAGGCGTTTCTTGACTATGCCAAGAGGTTTTGGAGTGTTTCCTGAGGTTTCTTTTGCGACGGAATTATGCGGTTGGTCTCTTTTTTCTTTCAGTCTCTTACGATTGCCCCTTTGTAAGGTACTGAGGTATGACGAGAATGGCAGGCGATTTTGAGAGAAGGGAGGAGGGATCACTCGATTCGGATTGTCTAATTCTGAGAACGACGATGGGTAGGGATCTGTTTGTAGTAAGGGGATCGGAATGGTCTGGATGGTTTGTTGACATTGTGTGGTATCGTGAGTTTTGGCTGTGTCTGAACGTTGCCTTGGGGTCAGGTCGTGGGGGAAGCGCCGCCGAACTCAGGAAACGGATTCAAGCAATACTCAAGAAATTTCAAGAAACGGGTCCTGAATAGTCTTGCTCCGTACCGCGCTGCCCCCCTCTCCCGCTTCCTCTTCCGAAGCAGCGGCCGGGATGTAATTCCGGATGACCTCATCAACATACCCCCGTGGCAACCCAAACCTCTCCGTCGCCTCGTCGACGCCGCGGTTCATCCGGTCGACGTACTCGGCCCACGGCGTCGAGGGTTCGGTCCTCTCGGTGTCGACGTAGACGAGTGCCGTGACGTTGCTGCCCGGTGTGAGGTTGGTGGTGGCGGCGGCGGTGCCGTCAGAGGTGAGATTCACGATGCTGACGGTAAGATCCTGTTTTTGGTAGGCGTGGGGCACGCCTTCGCATCTGTCGAGGGTGGCTTCGTCTTGGGGCGGGAGGGCGTAGAGGACGCCGTAGACGCCTGGAGCTGCGGAAGGCGGAGCCGAGGGTGGAGGCGGCGCGGAAGCTGAGGCCGGGTCCGTGGTCGGTGCGGCGGCGGCGTCGGCATCGGCGAGGCACGCAGGGTTTACGGGGCCATTGGGAACGACGTTGGCGTAGCGGCGGGCGTTTATGATGAATGTGTGGTCTGGGAGGTGGGCTAGGCCGAGGGGTTTAGAGGCGGGGCAGCGGAGTGACATTTGGGTTGGGGAGAGGTTGGAGCCGTAGGCGAAGTAGAGGCGAGGGGGGTCCGATGAGGCCATATTGTTCGTCGGCTGTGACTAAAATGGTGTGCGAGATGTTATGGTTGTGAGGTTGGCGGGGGTACGGTCTCTCTGGCAGGTGAGTTTGAGGGTTCACCGGTAATTTTTGGCTGCCGAGTATCGTATCTTTCTTTTCTCTTCTCTTCTCCTATTCTGTTCCGCCACATGAGGCAATTGGTGATAGAGTGCGAATTGGTATCGATTCAGATGTTGTAAGTGGGAGGTGACGAGCGTCCTCAATTTATGGTGAGATGGCTGAGACTTAGGCAGCTAACACGCCACAGGTCGATGCTCGATGGTCTCAGATGCAGATGCGGGGCGGGGAAAGAGGGCACTGGAGAATTCGACCTGCCTACCTTCATGTAAGCCATCGCACTGGTCTTTTCTTTTGAGGAAATCTTCTCATTTCCATCGTTGCCTGCAATCGCAGTCCTTGATCCTCATTTCAGAGACTTGTTTCTATTCTGAGTTTCGGGTTCGGAAATTGCTACACTTGGACATACCTCTACGGAGTATTGGGAGAGTACCTAAATTGGCTCACCCGGGCCGAGAGTGGGACCGGAGGCACGGCACGGCACGGCACGGTGTTAGCGGCATAAGTGCCTCACATCTTCATTAATTAAGCATTATCTACTAGTATGTATCCGTACATCACTCATAGAGCCTCCTCTCTCATTGTCATGCATAATGTCGTCAACGTCAGCAAGGAGAGTCCTTTAACCTACGACGAAGCAATGATCTCGGCAGCCTGCTCGGCGAGGGCATACACTGCGGCCTGGATGTGAGCCGTGATGATTGTCGGGAACACGGAAGCGTCGACAACACGAAGGTTGCTGACGCCCTTGACGCGCAGATCGCTGTCGACGACTTTTCCCATGGCGCATGTGCCCATAGGGTGATACGTGCCACTGGAAGACGAAATTGTCAGTTTCGAGGGCTGGGAAATATAGCACATCAAAAAGGTTAGGTACTTCACTTACATGACGGAAGCACGGATGCGCTCCTCAATCTCCTCGTCCGTCGACTCAAGCGTAAACGCCTTCAGGCCGTCCGCCGGCGCCTCAGCCTCGACGATCCCCTGGCTCAGGGGCGACTCGCCGCCAATCATCATACGCGTCATCCGGCGGATCGAGTCGCGCCACACGAACCGGTCAACCTCGGAAGCGAAGAAGTTGGGGTCGATGAGCGGAGCCTCACTTGGGTCCGCAGAGGCGAGCGTCACGGAGCCGCGGCTCGTGGGGTGGAGGCCGACATTGGCGGTCGTGAGGTAGGTGCTGTTGGAAGGGAGCGCCGGGTTCGTGTTGACGTAGAGCACAAACCCTTCCATGAGGGTGCGCTCGTTCTTGAGGAGCGGGTGCGTCGCCCGGTCGGGTGCGGTGCCTTCTTCTTTGGTGATGGCGGCGATGAGGCCGTCCTGGTCTTCTACACTAAAGGAGGCGACAAAGTTGTTGGGCTGGCCGAGGCCGTACTGCGGTTGAAAGAAGAGGGTGTTGCCTGAGTCGACGGTCGCGTTGCGGTACTGAGGGGAGAGGCGCCAGTTGTAGGTGAAGAAGGCGTGGTCGGCAAAGTTCTTGCCGACCTCGGGCGCGTCGAGCTTGGTTTCGATGCCGTGCTTGGCGAGTTCGTCGGACGGGCCGATGCCGGATAGCATCAGGAGCTGCGGCGTGCGGTAGGCGCCAGCGGCGGCGATGACCTCCTTGCCGAGGATCTCCGTGCCGTTGGCGAGGCGGACGCCGGTTGCGACAAGGGTACCGGTGCTTGAGCTGTTGTCGCTGCGGAGGAGGATCTTCTCGACCAGCGTTTCCGTCATGACGGTGACGCCGTCGAGGGGGTAGTACTCCGAGGCGATCTGGCGGACGCCGTTGCGGCGGTTCTCTGCGATCTCGCCAAAGCCGAGGTTCTGGCCGGCGTTGGCGTCCAGACCCGGGAGGGCCTTGACGCCGACGGACTCGTACGATGCGTAAACGGCATCTTTCAGGGGGTAGACGCGGCCCGTGACTGAGGGCACCTCGACCTTGAGGGGTCCGTCGTACCCGTGCTCATCGGCGTTGACGTCGGTCCAGTACGCCTCGGAACGCTTGAAGAACGGCAGCTGGCTCTCGTAGCTCCAACGGGAGTCGTTGGCCAGTTCGGCCCACTCCTCGTAGTCCACGCGGGCACCACGCATCCATCCACCTGAATAATGGGGTCAACAATTTTGGACGCACATCACACCACAGAGTACCAGATATGGAGAGATGACTTACATGTGTTGATGAGAGAGCCACCGCCAAGACCCTTCCCGGCAGCGCTCTGAATGGTGCGGCCGTTGAGCTGAGATTGCGGCGTGGAGTAGTAGTTCCAGTCAAAGTCGCCCGCGATCAGGTTGGTCGAGTTGACGTAGAGAATGTCCGTTCGGCCAGCAGCGCTGGAACCGGCCTCGATGACGAGGATCTTGGCCGTGTTGTTAAGCGCTAACAGCCGGCTCGAGACGACGGAGCCGGCGAGGCCGCCGCCGACTACGATGTAGTCCCAGACGTCGGTTGGTAGCATGATTTCCTGATTCGTGTGTCGTTATGCAGGGCAGCGGCACGTAAAACAAGATTCGACGCAAAAATTCTGGAAAGGAAGAACTTGGCGCAAGTGTGATTGATGCTGCAGATCGGGAACCGTGAGGCTGGGACTGCAGAGTGTGTGACGAGCCGTTGCAGAATGCAATGCAGAGAGAATCGGGCGTAGTATAAGGAGAAAGGGAGAGAACCTCACACACTCAAACCGGACAGACGCCGCAGCCGCTTCTTTTTAAGAGCAGATGCATCGAGAGATATCACGCACACATCGCCCGTCAGCATCGTCCTCCGAGGCTCCGTTCTGCGGCCGTTGCGGAGACTATTGCCATGTGGAACTCGGCGCAATTTTGGATATTTCGATATCGCAAGAAAAAAAGGCCAGGGCCAGAAGGTGGCTCGGGTACGGCGGGTGAGCGACGTCGACAGATCAAGAGGTTCTTCCCCCATTGCCCTCCCGTTGAAGGGGGCCACCAATATTCCTCCTCCACGGGGAACCTTTCCGGGCCAAGCTCTGTCGTTATCCTCTGACCAGGTTCCTGACTAGTTGACAGAGGCCTCTGAGTGGGCTCATGAATCGATTGAGTGGTGTTGGATGTTCAAGGATCCGGAGTTGTGGGGTTTCTTTCGGACTAGGTTACCGAATGCAGAGACCACTTGTTCTGCGGTCCGTCATCCCCTGTTCCCTACGACGCGGTCCGCGGATAGGGTTATTGTGGTGATAGGACTTGGCTGGTCGATCGTCGTAAACTGAGTTTACGATATGCAACGGGTCTACGGAGTACTGCAACTCTATGGAAGCCATAAGCGTCTGCTGACTTCGTCAGCAGACGGACAGAACTGACGTCGATTATGCTTATTCTTCTCCAAACATAGTCTCGATGGTTTGAGATAACTCGACATGTCTGTCTTCTTCACCTGGATTAGCGCGGCTCCATAGCACTTTTGGAGCGGGCCCTATTTCAACATCCCAGCTTCATGCAGAGTGCAAGCACAGGAAGTCCGAGAGACTCTCGATCTCTGTATCGCAAAATCGTATCACCATGTGGGAATTTTCGCGCCCCATTTACATGGTAGACCTCTTGCGTTATCATGAATTTGTGATATCTCATCATCGCCACGCGGGATCCCAGTGCGCCCGCCTCCCGCATGGCCCATCGGCTGGTGAGCCATGACCATAACCTGGGTTGGTTTCGGGGGTGCCCAAGACGAGGCCTGTTGGACGCCCCTGTCAGACAGGTCTTTGCTTTTTTTTTCACCCCTTCGTATGGCTAGAACCTGTGTCTTGACTCGATCATGCATATGTTCTTTCCGCTTGAAGAATGTGGATCACCCGCTTTGCCGCTGCGGAAAGGAGGTTTGACGGATATGTTAAGCCATAAGGCTCCCCCATCTCGTCTGGTGCGGCGTCTGTGGTACCTAGTTGAAGGCTAGATCTCCAGGCACCATATCCGCCCCGTCGTGTGAGACGGCACCGGACTCAAATTCATGATGAGAATCAGCGGTGCGCTCTTTGCTCGTCTAGCCGTACCGACAAACGCCACCGTTCAGCCCGAGGATGTCATCCAGACCGAGATCGTGCCCCTTTCCGACCGGGCGGTTCCCATTGTTGTCGTCAACGTGCTGTTGACGTTCGCCACAACACTATGGACGGGCATGCGATTATACAGCCGGCGGAAGAAGGGACAGTCTTTTACCATTGAGGATTTCTTGACTGTTGTTGCTCTGGTAAGAGACTACGTGGCTGCGAGTCGTCTTTCAGGTGTATTGACAACATACTAGATCGCCTTTTATGGGCTCGTGGCCTGCAACTTTGTCAGTAAGTTGGATCAAAAAGTTCTGCGGAGTTGTTCGAAACTGAAAGGCGGTTCTAGTGGTTTACCTTGGGGGAACCGGGCATCACTACTTGACCCTCCAGCCATATCACGTCGAACGCATGTCAAAGGTCAGCCTACGAAGATGTCCCCATCTTACCCCTGATTCTTACTTCTGTCGTCTCTTCCGAGAATCTCAACTAACAACACACCCCTCGGGGGAGATAACAGGCCGCATACGGTGTCCAAACCCTCTTCGCCATCTGCCTCGGCTTCATCAAGATCGGCATCACCCTCATGCTCCAGCGCGTCTTCTTCGTGCGGGGCTTCAAGATCGCCGCCCGCATCACCACGGGCCTCTGCGTCTGCTGGATGCTCTTTACCATCCTCATCGGCATCTTCATCTGCCAGCCCGTGGCCATGAACTGGAATCCGGCGACGCCCGGCGGCAAGTGCGGCGACCAGAACGCCGCCTTCGCGGCCGTGGGCTACTTCGACCTCGCGACGGATCTTATCATTCTCGTGCTGCCGATTCCCATGGTGTATAACCTGCAGCTGCGGTGGCCGCACAAGGTGGCTTTGTACATCATCTTTGGCGCAGGCGCTCTGTAAGGGAATCCCT